ATAATTTCTCCAGTAACAGCAAATGGGCCAAGCCTTCCTCTCCCAACTTCATCTCGCAGAGGTTTCAATGGATCATTGACTCCAGTTTTAAGAGCGGATGTCAGTAAATATCGACCAGAGGTCTACAAAAGTGAAAAATCGAAAATTCTCAAAAAAATTCACAAAGTAGCACTAAGTAAGCTATTAACATAAATGTAATTTTTACTTCGATCCGATAATTATTTTCCACGTACGGGGGGGTTATTGGTTTCGCGGCTCTCGGACCGGGTTTTCCAGGCCTGAGACCATGTGTCGCAAAAAAATTGTTCTAAAATTCAAATCCATTGTAATGCGGACAACAAATAACTTATTGAGAAGAGTACTTAATTGCACACATTGTAAGCGGTGATTTAGTCAGTTTGAACGAAAGTGTAATATTTTCGAGATTTTTCATTATTTTCAATATTTTGAAGGTTTTCGTTCAATGAAAAAATGGCAAATTTCAAAGCCCAAAATCGTCGACTGGTACCTCGATTTCAGTAACGAGTCTTATACCACGTTTAAGAGCGTTATCTCTTCTTTCAAAATCTGTTTTCAAAACTACGGGCAACTTAAAAGAAAATGTTTGAGGCCAAAAAATACTAGTAGTACTTTTCTGAAATTTGAGCTTTCCAGACTCAGCGGGTCGACGCTAAAAACTCAGAAAAATGCAATAAGAAATCAGTTTGAGCAACAGTGATTTAACGTTATCAGCTATCAGAAACCAACACGTGTTTATCGAGCGATCTGATAAAATTTAAAGCCGTTTTCCAACAAGAAAAGCAGAGTTTAGCCATCTTCTGCTACCAAACGCAATGAGTCACGTAAGGTTGTCAAAGGGCAAAAGCACAATAATAAACTTCAAAAAGCACAACGTTTCTGCGTCCAGAAATTAGACTTTAGCGGACAGAACAGTGCCTACGAGTGTATGTTTCATACCTTAGCATTAGTTTCCTAGATACTGGAAATAAAAAACATCAAGGACAGCATCGGCAAGAGCATCTTCGGCTGCTCTCAAACGACGGAGATTGCGTTACTTTTCACAGATTGACCGCTTACCACCTGTTTTTGGGCTCGCATTTCGACGGAAAGCTTGCCTCTAGAGGCGCGTGGCACGGATCTGAACTCTTCTTCACGAGACATTTAGCAGAATTCATCGGAAATATGCTACCACCACATGAGCTTTTTTTCGGGTATTTGTCGTTTTTTATGCGAAAACTTCGGGTAAGCAGATTCTCGCAAAAACCATTTGGCTTAAAAAATGTGTTTAAAAGCCCACCCTGGATTTGAAGCAAAAAGTATTTCCTCGAAATAAGCTAAAAATGCCCAATTCACGAGGTGAAAAAATGGATGATTATGGAAGGATTGTCGAATTCTTGCCTAACCTGAGGTATTTTCCGTGATGTAGGATTAGGGCTAGGAAAAAAGCCCATAACCTGCTCCTGTCGTTGTGAATTTCCTCAAGATCAAAAATTTCAGTAAGAACCGAAAACAACACCTTAAAGGAGGTGCACTCACCTTGAACTAGCCAGGGAAAAGGGGCTTCTGATTGAGCTAAACTGTCATTGATGCACGGTGCAATTAGGTAGACCTGTTACTATCCCCCGCGCAAACACATGGGGAGTACTTTGAAGCGAACCTGTCGGGGACTTTCGGGGGTAGGGGGCGGGGCAAATCGAAAATAACTTCTCTTTGTTTTTGTGAAGTACATCATTTCTCGCACGGTTTACAAGGTGACGGCGGACTCCGTACCTTTGGAAAGGCCCTTTTGAAACATGTCCTGGCAACATGTAGGGCATCACGAAATTAACGTCAACACCTTGAATCAACTCCATGAACAGGGAGAGGCGATAAGTCCCATCTTAAAAGATGCTTGATGTCTAGACGTGAATAGTCTGTCCACAGTCATTTTTCGTTTTGTATTTCAGGACCATTTGACAGCGTACGAGTGAACCGGAGCGCAGTAACGAGCCCTAACCCCACCCCATTGCCCTTGCGGTCAATAAATCATCGCGTTTTTCATTTTTTAATGCGCGTTCGAGAACCTCCAAAGGGAATATTGAGGGTCTTTGTACAGTTTCAGTTTATTTTTCCTACAAAAAAGAACAAAACAAAGTAAAAGACAAGTATACAGAAACACGCAGAAGCAATGTGGTGAGGAAGCCCAAAAAGAAACCATAAGGCTTAGGTCATCCCCTTTTCGTTCGTTTAACGTCGAATAGATTTCCTGGTTTTGGTGGGTCGGTCGGTGGGAAAAAAAAAAAAAAATCACAAGAAATCTGAGAACGGGAGGCCTGAAACACCAGCATCATTGCCGTGGAGACTGAAAACAACAAGACTTGGTCACCAAATCGACACAAACTCAATATGGCGGAAAATTTGATGGTCAATTTCATAAAAAAAGGTCCAAAAAGGGTAAAAAGCAAAGAGGATACACCACCGAACGTTTTATGCCTCGAAATGATGTTATAATGCTAATTTTTAGATTAAAAGAATAAATCTAAGTCCAAAAAAATAAACCTTGTCGTTTCTTTTTTCTTTTTTTTAAAAATGCCAAAAAACTGGGTCTTTTGGACGACTGCTCCCTTAAAGTATAAAAGTATAAGTTTACAAGGACATGATCGAACGTATACTGAGTAACTAAATGATAAAAATTTGATCAAAATTAAATGAAAGGCTAAGAGTCTAAGCGCTGTCTGATAACGAAACGGTAAACAAGAAGTGCTGCCTCTCATTTAAAAGAGACGTGAAATACTGGGCGGACCACATCCTGAACTCCCGCGAAAACCGCAAGAGAGGAACGCTCAGGGCTAAGGAGACTAAACAGGGGCGTAGCTACTTGTACGCACGGTTAGCACGTGCGTACCCGAAAACGTTGAGGAAAAAAAAATAGAATGAAATAAACATAACTAAAAAATCGGTTGCCAGAGAAGCGACGACATTAATTGGAGAACCGAATCTTGGATGATTTACGTATATAGCAAGCTTGATGATGTAAAGCGTGAACGCGTTGTTTTCTCCACGACCTGTCTTCGGAGTAGACGAAGTAGGGCACAATTACGTCAATATGTCTTTTGTCGGTCAAAAAATAGTGTGACAAAAAGGGGTAAAAGAGTCATTTGTAAACTAAAGTCGGAGGTACTACAAGCTTGATTTTTAATAGCTGAATTAATGATAAACGCTTGACGTCAATGAACATAACAAGCCGACAGAATTAAAGAATTTTAGAGGTTGTGTCATTTCATAAACAGCAAAAATGCTTTTGCTTACAACCGTTAACCCCACCTTTAATAAAGGCACCTTAAAAAAAATGTTGAGATTTGGGGTGGGGGGAAGAAGATGTAGAAAAAGTTGGGCGTACCTCCGGAAAAATCCTGACTACGCACCTGCTAAAGCCTGAAACTGAACAACAGTAGTCTTGACGAAACGTCCTCAGTTATAACCTGTCCGGGGTCGTACTTTAAAGGAAACGCTGATCAAGAATCACTCATGACGGAATGAAAACTCCTCGTAGCTTCCAGCGAAAAAGGGTGAGAACAGTGGTAAGCGGTCGTTCTGTGAAATGTAACGCAATCTTTGCCGTTTACGATCTTTCGGCGCTTGGATTTGAAAGGTTGTGTTTGGTATGTTCTCCCGTATGGATACTTGACATTTCCAATATATGGAAACACCATGCTAAGGTACGAACAACAGACATTCACAACATTGTTTTGTACGCTAAAATCTGATTTCATGGACGTAAAACGTTTTGAATTTTAAGACTTTTTAATATTAGTGCTTTGCCCTCCCTTTGACAACTTCACGTGACTGGTGCACTTGGCAGGAGTTGACAGCTTAAATCTGCCTTTCTTGATAGCAAACGGCATTAATTTATATCAGATCGGTGTATAAACACGTCTTGGTTTCTGATAGCTGATAACATGAAACCACTATTGCTCAAACTGATTTCTTACTGTATTTTTCCAAGTTTTTAGCATCGGCCCGCCGCGTCTGGAAAGCTCAAATTTCAGAAAAGTACTACTTGTATTTTTTGGCTTCAAACATTTTCTTTTAAGTTGCCCGTAGTTTTGAAAACAGATTTTAAAAGAAGAGATAACGCTCTTTAACGTGGTATAAGACTCGTTACTGAAATCGAGGTACCAGTCGACGATTTTGGGCTTTGAAATTTGCCATTTTTTCATTGAACGAAAACCTTCAAAATATTGAAAATAATGAAAAATCTCGAAAATATTACACTTTCGTTCAAACTGAGTAAATCACCACTTAGAATGTGTGCAATTAAGTACTCTTCTGAATAAGTTATTTGTTGTCCACATTACAATGGGTTTGAATTTTAAAACGTTTTTTTTGTGACACAGGGTCTCGGGCCTGGAAAACCCGGTCCGAGAGCCGCGAAAGCAATAACCCCCCCGTCCTTGGAAAATAATTATCGGATCGAAGCAAACATTACATTTATGTTAATATCTTACCTAGTGCTACTTTGTGAATTTTTTTGAGAATTTTCGATTTTTCACTTTTGTAGACCTCTGGTCGATATTTACTGACATCCGCTCTTAAAGCGCAGCTGTAGGTGAGCAACTATACTACCATCTCTAAAATGTTAAACAAACATACATTTCCCGTTGCTTTCACGTTGCAAGTGGCGCTAACAAGCACCAGTGGTTTTGAAAATATAATTATTTTGGCCTTTCTTTTTGTTCTGTTACTTATATAATTATTTTGATAGTATATATAATGATACATATTTTTTCTGGCACTTGCCCTTTGTACCATCTGATCTCAAGCTCGCAAACAAAACACCCAAGTCCAGCAAAAAAGCCCCGAACATGTACACTTACGGAGAATATACATAGATTATTCATACTAGGAAACACCGAGAGGAGAACATTTCTTTATTCTAAAGGGGAAAACTATTATAACAATTAATGTCAATGGGGCAGCGTTAAAAACGCTAACAAATGCACTTTGTAAATATAAAGTTCTTACCTTAACAGTATAACATCCTGACCATAAAACTGTTTTTCGGGATTCCAGGTGTAAACGCTGGCAATCTAACGTAAATAAATGCACTTAGATCGTGTAAAAGATCGTGATTGTTGAGACTGGTTGTTCAAATATTAGATAGCGCTATCCATGATTACAGTTTAAAACTACATATTTTTAAACCGAGAAGGAAAAATAGTTACCTTTTGATGAAGTCACTTTGCGCCAGTGCCAGGGCAAAACATCCACATATTAATGACTTCCACAATGTGAACAAACTCTTGGTTATTAAGTCCCTTCGTTTTGTTATCCTATATCCTCTTAGACTTTTCTTCAAGTGCGGGCAAAAAAATTGAAACAGTTTTGTGTTTTCCCAAATCCCACTTTCTTTTGGGAAAATACCATTCCCAATTAAACAATAAAAAAAAATCTCCAGTAGTTCATCAAAACAGCTCTTTGGCCAGAGGTGGCTCATAACGCAACAGTTTCTGCATTTAGACTCATTTTACTTTTATTTAGGTCAAGCTACGCAGAATGCATCGTTTAAAAATATATAATCAATTCATGGGCTTAAAAATATAACTGTACATCAAAGTAACATTGCAGCATGCGCGTGCGTTGGGATGTACCAGTAAATTTTGGGCCACAAAAATAAAAATTAAAAAAAAAATTATTTGAGCGTCCACGCCATATGTGGGTGAAGTTTGTTTTGTTGGTTTTTCTCTGAGAGGTTTTTCTTTGGGTACTCCGGTTTTCCCCTTTTCTCAAAAATCACCTTTTTTAAATTTCAATTACACCAGGATTGTTAGACGAAAAACCTCTATATCACTATTTTTTCTTTTTTTTTTTCTTTTTTTCTTATTATTATCATCAATCTTCTGCTTACTTTTACAGTCAAACCAAGTCAAGCGTACCCCCCAAGATTCTATTAATGAATTGCTTATTTGAAAAATGAATCCGTTAGTCGTTCCCGTAACTGGTGTCAAATTCAAAACGGCATTTCTGCATGCGTAATGAGCAGTGAATATTTTATTTGGTCAGATTGGAAATCTTTGAATGGATTAAGCTTCTTAGAAGATATTTACATCAATTTCAGGAAAATGGAGCTGGTAGAAATTTCATCACTACCTCGCGTGTGAATTCACGGCTCATTACACATGCAAGAATGCAGAGATCAATCTGAAATCTACAACTAGCAACGGATTCAACTTTTGAATAATAAATTCATTAATGTATTCTTGAGGGGTACGCTTGACTTGGTTTGACTTATAGAGGAGATTCAGAGTCATGTAAGTTTAACGAAAATTTAAGGTAGCTCTGAGCCAGCTATCAAAACGTTTTGAGCGCACGAAAACAAAGCACAGATTAAACCTAACAGGTTACAGCAGAAAAACAAAGACCATAAAGCTGCCTAAAAATTTTGCAACTTCATATAATAACTTCCCTCTTCAGCACCATAGTATGTTAAGTCAATGTAACAAATGAGAATGGGTAAAAATTAGGACACTAGAGTATATATACCTGAAATTTTTATCGTATTTCAAATCATATACTAGAACTCTTTATCTGTTAATCATCTTCATGAGCCACGCATAGACACCTTTGTAATTTCTTCTAATAAGAACACTAGCAAAAAAACGTACTATGCTCCATTCACACCAAAGCTTAAACATGTTTAAAAGCTGTTTATTTAAACAGTTTAAATTTGTTTTCTTCATAAAAGCTGCCTCCTTTACTTTTATTGATGGCAAATTTAGTGCAATTATAACATGTTAAAGTTCATTCAAATTCGGTGCTAAAGCATGTGGTCTAAATTTCCATTTATATTTTTCACTTTAGTTAAACAAGTCAAGTTTTCTGCGTTCTGAATATTAATTTAACTTCGCTATAATGAAACGTCAAAAGAGTATCAAAGTTGTAACATCTTTTTTTTTCTCATCCCCTGATATTTAATTCAAAAGGTAGGTGTACTTTTAGCAAACTTACGGCTGATGTCAAGTTAGATTCCAGCATCTTGAACTCAATTGTGTTCATATTGGAATAAGCATCCTTCCATGGCCATTGGTTGTCGTTTATAGTAATTCCAACTGTTGTGATTATACACTCATGAGGTGGACCTTCAGTCAGTAAGTCAAAAAAGGATCCGCATTCAACAAGTTAAAAATATATGGTAAAAAACACTAACTGGAGGCTGTGTTTTTACCAAACCTTGTCTAAGTCAATGAGCGTGTGACAACCCTAATTCTTGTGAAAGCATAGCATGCAGTTAGTGTAAAAAACCACAAGCGACTTGGAAAAAAACGTAATTCCAACAACTCGGCATAACTTGATTTACACAATGACGTGATTTCACGTCATCATGACGTCATATTATTAAATTGATTGGCAGAATCCAAATTCCATTAAATATTTCCCTCAAAGCTCAAAATACCTAAACAATAACACAAGTGAGGCAAGACGTTGCCTTACACATTATGAAGAAAAGCAGTGATGTCATGATGACGTCATTTATCAGTATATAGATTTAGCTAGCGCTAAAAGAGAGGCTCCAATTTATACATTTTAAATTCCCATGAGACAATTACCCTGAAATACAGACAAAACTAAGCTCTCTTTAAGTCCATCTGCGAAACAGCTCCAAATTATTGTTCTGGGGCCTCACCTGTGAACCGGGATTTGAGTACGCGAAATGATTGGCATTTTAAAAATGCCATTGTCGATTAACCAGTCAGGATGAAAAGAAATTCGAAACACTTTTCCGGTAATTCGTTGAGTTCGTTGGGAGGCCAGAACAAGGATCTTGGCGCTGCTTTTCAGACTTAACTAACTGGGGTGAAATTACGCCTGCATCGCAGGGACGCAGGCTACAAGCGATGGACTTTAAACCATTGCAAAGAAATCTACAAGTGTATACAGTCAAACCTCCACGCGCGACCAGCTTTCGTACGCGACCACCTTCCCAAATCACGGAAAATGGTCTCAGTCAAAGCCTTATACTGGAACCCCTCGTAAAGGATAATAATAATAATAATAATAATAATAATAATAATAATAATGACTTTTCTATTTATATAGCGCAAAATACATTGGTATATGATCTAATGCGCTTTACATCACAATGCTTATGATATTACAGTGAAATGGACAAAAAGATTTCAGCTTTTCTAAAAAGCTAATAAATAGATACTAGATAAAAATATTATATATTTAACAATTATTCTTTGAAATCGAGGTGAATAGTGGCTAAATATTTACCGAGCCACGAAGTGGCGAGCTAAATATTTCTAAAACCCCTATTCAAGGAGATTGAAAAGAATAAGTTTAGTTTATACACACGAAGTGATCTCAACAAAATCAGAGAGGAAATCATTAAAAAGTACGATTTGATTGACAGATCCGGTCAGCTAGACACGCGGCAGTTTAAAAATAGATCTTTGTAGAATTTTCAAAAATGGCAATTCACAAGCTTATCACTTCGCAAACAACAGCGTAATGACTTAAATGGAACCGCTAAAAGGTTTAATTCTTTCCTTGCCTGAGAAGAAAACAAGAGCTTTGTTGTTTTCTGTTGCCTCGCAAAGTTTATAGCCGAAAAGGTTTGTTGTGTCGTTCTTCGCATGAAGCGCTGACAAAAATGGCGATTCGGTTCCTCGAGGTAAGATGTCTCTTCATGTAGCATCAGTCTTTCTCGTGTTTACTTGAAACGTAGAATTTCTGCAAACATTTGCATTCAAATTTGTTTTTCATAAATACACTTCGTTTTTGGGCCAAATTTTTCTTGTTAGGAAACGCTGAGTTCACGAAACGGCTTCTTCTAGGCGAATAAAGGGGAGTTGTAAACAATCCATCGACCACAAAACTCAACAGCAGTAAATTGAAAAACGCCGTATTGAATCCTTCCAAGTCTTTTCTTGCCTTAAAAAAAAGTCAGCCCTAGGATTTTGGCGACTTTTAAAAGATCTTTCTCTAGGAAAATGGGAAAAACAGGTGAATATTGTTGAATAGTCCGAGATAGCGAACCAATCAGATTGCTTAAAATCACCAAGATCACTGAGTGTGTATATACTAAATATATATATATATATATATGTTTAAATACTATAGGTTATAAGCTAAAAGCTAGCTATAAGGATCACCTCGCGTAAGCGACCGCGACAACTACATTTTGGCTGACAGTTTTAGAATTTTGATTGCTTTCAACTTCCGGTAAGCGAGCACTTGACATATGTTTGGGGGAAAATTGTATCGCTCGACATCAGGCGCGGGTTATTATTTTTTTAAGGCCGCGCAACCTAGAGATTTCTCCCTTCGCCCTAAGAAATAAACTTTAACTGGCGCCTGGAACGCAGGCTAGACGCGACGCGATTTCTAGGGTTAAAGGTAGGTTACAGGCTCCCTCACAGGTTAAAAAGTTAATTGACATTTCACATTGTTTTCTCATTAGTGTGGACGGATAGGCAGACGTACGGTAACATGATTTACCAAATTTCTCGTAAGGACAGATAATACAAAATTCTTTGTACGAACTAACTGAATCATGTACCATTTTGGATCCGCCGTGTTCAAATAATTAAATGTATCTCTTTTCAATTCCTGCACTAACGTGCTGGCATTGATAGGAACTCAGGGAGGCGTACTCATCAAGATGCAGTTTGTGAAACTCCATTATTTCACACCACCTTCGATGGAATTCTGTCAAGGAAGTGAGTAAGCTGTACGTTTAGTGCCGACAACACTACTTGTCAGTTTCTTGATTAACTTTTTCTTCTATTACCCATATTCTAAATTTTTTTTCGGTCATTGGTCATGGAGTATTTACTTACTTCCACCTTCACAGTCAAATTTGTTGGAAAATGTGATGTTGTGTCTGCGGTCAAACAAAAAAGCAAGACTTGCTAATTATTAGTATTTTCGCTACGAAATTATCATTTTTGTTTTGTTTGCTATTTAAAAGAAGCGCCCTTATTTCGCTGTTTAGCATATATGGGATCAGTTTAAGCTTCTTGGGATACCAATAAACCAAAGAACACTGTGTTATTCTTAATTCCATACTCACATTTTACGTCAACAACTGCGAGGCTTGTAGCAGGAGTGCCATACCCATTATCAGCAGTACACTTGTATGACCCTACATCCTCTCTTTTTACATTAACAAGAAATAGCTTATGACCAGAGACATTAAACTGTGCTGCTGTTAAACCTTCTTTCGTCCAAGTGATATTGGGGGTGGGGTCACCAGATGCATTGCATGTCAATGTAAAGTTTGTTCCAAGAGTAATCCTTGACTGCCTTGCAGGGAGGACAGTCATTCTTGGAGGCACTGAAATATAATATAACATTAAAATTACCAGGCCGCGGTTGTTCAAACGTTGGATAAGGCTATCCAACGGATAAATCACGTATCCAGCGGATAGTATTAGGAAAAACGATTGTACTATCTGCTGGATATAGATTTATCCACTGGATAGTGTTATCCACCTTTTAAACAACTGGGCCCAGTTCAACATGTAGATGGTAACATTTATACAAGTCCCTGATTTAGAAAACTGAAAAAATATAGTTACTTCATACATAGCCCCATATCAGATATCATGGAGTGATGTGTCACCGATTATAATTGCTTTGTTGGACATGCTGTATTCAAGTCTTATGACCTAAATTATTAGCAACAAACACAGGAGAAGACTATGATTGGAGAAGTATCTCGGAGACAACTGGATAACAATTATTCACCGAAGTGGAGGTGGCTAGTGGTGGACCTTTGTTTGTTACGGCAGCAAATCAAGAAGGCATTTTGCTCGAAACTTACGCGAGTTTGGTGTCGCTCGCTAGGAGGAACTGGAGGTGAATCAGTGAATAGTGCAGGATATTCACTGATTGAGTAGCCAATCAGAGCGCGCGAAAAAAAATATCCACTGTTTTAGTTTATACTAAACCAGATTATTCATATTTGCAGCAGCCCTGAGGTGTAATGAGCTGGGAATTGTTTCAACAAATTATTCCAAATGACGGCCTTGTCCAGCAAGGTAGTTGGGCATACAGAGAAAAAAACCGGTTTTGGGATAATGAGTTGCATGGCATAGAGATGCATACTAGGGAAAAGGAGAATGCAATGAGGGAGCTGGCGTGCTTTTGTTATTTTATTTACGATTTTATCAGACGAGTCGTTTGTCTAAATCACAGAGCAAATTGAATGTTTTCAGTAATGTATCCCGATAAATCTTTTAGTATCGACAACCGACTTACCGTGAAATGCTTTAAAACGTTATACAAGTCCCCAGTTTTGTTAAATTTATTAGTATTATGTATTAGTGTTAAATGAGTTGAGGACGCAACTTACTTATTAATAGGTTAATATATAAACGTTAAACCTTCAAAGTTACCAACCAAACATTCCTGTATCTCGTTTGTGTTTCACAAAGGATATGAAGGTGCAGTCACGACAGAGACTATAACGTTCAAATTCAATTGAAAGCGCAAAAAGATTTAAAAAGAAATTGGTTTCGAGAAAAGTTGTCGAAAAAGCTGTGCACGCGACAATCCCAAAAGGTAGCATGAGATATGCTCAATACACTGTTCCTGACACTGTAGCTGTCGAGCCTTCTTTGTTGGTTTCTTTTAGCACTCGCAAACATACGTGCATGGTCTCTCGTGCCATTCTTTCAAATGTCTTTGAAGAACAAAAAACTCCAAACCACCCACAATACCTTTATTTCGGGATTGTTGCGTGCACTTTTTCCGACAACCTTTTTCGAAATAGCTGTATAGTTCTTTCCCACTCCTTGCTGTGCTTTGTGACTTATCTTTGAAGAAACCTCAATTCAGGAAAAACGTTAAAAGCTCTCTAAAACTGCGCTCATTAGATATTGATTCTTTTGACTGAGGATTTTCGAAGACGTAATTCTTCGATAATCTAGGAACAATCCATAGACCTGGACAGCGATGGGCCACTGTTCGATGCATGTAGACACAAAATCTCCGTCTCCATCGTTCACGATCTAAAACCTAAAGAAGGCTTGCTCTTAGTTTAAAAAAGTTGCTGAAGGTTCTGGATTTACTATCAGAGATTTGTACCCTTATTATACTCAGCCATGGCGTCTATGGCTGACTGTATCGACCATTTTCTTGGTGAATTAAATCTAGACGAATAAGGATAAGTCAATTCCTGAAGGAATAAAGAGGCGTTTAATTAAACATTTGCTTTCAGGAGAATACTCCTCCAAAGCTCCAAGGGGAATTGAAGTATTTGATCCCTCACACCTCAAACTTACATCACGAGTTTAGCCCCTGATAAAGGCGTGGTTGAGGAAGAATCGAAGCTAATTTATACAACAGGATAAATGAATGTGACAACCATAGACCCGCCTTTACCAGTAATCGAACCAGCTCACTTCCTTTAAGGAGTTACTTCCTGCATGTGACCCCTGTCACACTAATGTTTCGCTCAGCCAATTAGATGCCAGCTATCACATGAACAGTTGATGCCCATATTTTCGCGCCTAGCTCAGAAAAAAAGCATTTCATATTCTTCTCTTCGTGGAACAAAATGCTCGTTACTTCTAGCCCGGATTTTTCTTCAAGAATTAGAATTTTGCTAAGCTGTATCGACTAGATCACCGTTTAGGGAGGGCTAACTTGATCGTCCAACTGCATACAGGGTTTACGCGTTCGCGTTTTCTGGACAGAACTTCCACGAAGAGATGCTGCACCGGTCTGGGTCAAAAACTCCGTCCTTGGAACATTGGCCTATAATAACCCCCCTCTTGTATCTTGTATGTCGCTGTTTTCTCCTCGTCTTGAACTTTTGATAACCTCTCGCTCTACCCTCACTTTGGGCGTTTCGACTCTCGTGGCATGCGCTTCACAGTCAAGGTTCCTCTGCCGGAAATCATCTTAGGCCAGTGTGTCCTTTTGGGATCTGAGTTGCTCTCCCATGATTCAGGTGCGGTATTTTTCTTGTTTATCGATAGTTAACTTAATATTTTTATTATATAATTGTGCCTGCAACGACACCTGTTTTTTTGTTGTTGTTGTTTGCAATATTGTACACGTGACTGTACTAGACGCTTCGAGTAATAGAAAGTTACTTTTGAGTTCACTAACCGTAAGAAGAAGGACTTGGCGCCACAAATCACAAATCAAATCTGTAAAGATTTATTTAGGTCTTCGAGGTTTTTCAAATAATGGATTGAATTTCAGTTGCAATTGTTTAGTCACATCTAACAGAATATTTCCATGGATTTCTAGCATAACTGGTATCATATGAGTTAATATCAGACACCTTTATGAGGTACCTTTAAAACATTTCAGAGATTATGATTCATTGTGTGAGATTCGTGAGATATTAAGTTTTTACTTGTTGTCTATATCGAGTATCTCTTCAAGTTTATGGTAGGGTGCACTTCGTTCTCCGTTATGGCTAAAAATATGCAATGTAAGCAGTTATGTTGTTCTGTTTGGACTTCAGTTCCCCTGTTTGGGTGCGCATTGTATTTCCCCAACTCAATATCATGCTAAAGATAGAGGTATAAAGTGAGTGATATATTTGTTTTGAGGGTGTCTTTAAGGTAAGAAATGATGTAATTTTTAAAGGATTCCCACATTTGGATCAGTGCACGATTTCACTCAAGGCAGTGTCTAGTTTTTTCAGTGCGTAACTGTTAGTTGTTACTTGTAATCAAATTACAATCTGAGCCTTTCTTATTTGCTCTGTTCCTTTGTTGTTCTCTTTGCTGGTTTTTTAAGGTTTTATATATGATTTCTTTTCTCTTGCCTAAAATTAAGAAGAATCTTATACTCATTGCAGTCACAAGAACAGCAGATCATTTTTGTTTTCACTGTGAATCCATTGACAATTGTTAGGAAGATATGGCAAAAAAGGGTGAGGTTTCCACCAAGAGAGGATAAAGGGGACAGAGAAGGCATCCCCCATACACACCCTATTCGATAGGTAATTCGTCTCGAGTTATTTTTAACACCACAAATCTCAAGGGGGATTAGACAACAGCCAATCACATAGCGCGAATGTGTTGCGCGTGGATGACCCACGCTCAGAGCCATGCGCCCTTCACGAATTGACGCAGAACAAAATGGAGGAAGACGCGGAGAGCGATATTGCTTGCTATTCGTCTTGTTGACGAAAACGACTACAGAGAGATTTCTGCTAAAGCTGCGTCAGCGAAACGGAAATTAAAAAAGAATCGCTCTTCCTCTCTTAGAGAGCTAACAGTACAGCAGGGAAATCCTTAACGCACTGAATGTTCTCTCGGGATCATTTATAATTTACAGTTTCAAGAGAGTAATTTCTGGTTTGATATTTATTCCTTTATTAGTCTTTCATTATTCAACAAAAATAACACTTGGCGTCCTACTTGCTTTATTGTACAAACGACCGGTTTCAATAGACCGGCGAGATTTCTCATTTTATTAAAGCACTGAGGTTACGACAACGTCGAGCTAAACTGATTTCGTGAGTTGTCAAAGAGTCCAGCGATTCCCTTTTCCCAGGTGAGCGCCGACTCATTTCGCTTCAATATTCAGGAATGCGCTCGATCTCTTTACGCTTTCTTTGCCTTTCGCCCGAGATGTTTTGCACGGCGTTTAGTCATGCGAAACCTCCACGAAACATCCACGCGCGAGGTACCTTTATCCCGATTCTAAAAATAACTCGAGACGAATTACCGATGGAATAGGGTGTGTATGGGTGATGCCTTCTCTGTCCCCTTTATCCTCTCTTGGTTTCCACTGAGGGGAATCTTTCTTACCCGGCATCGCAACATGCCTGTGCACTTAGTTACTTTGGGCCTTATATTTTGATGAAAAAGTTGATAAAAGTTTAGTTGTCATTTATTTACAACTTGTATTAATATTTTTTTTATCTAACCTCTGTCCCTCGAGGTTCATGTTAAGTGTCTGGCTCTACTTTCGGGAGGGTTCAGGTTTCCCTCAAAGATAAATGAGGGTTTTTCCTGACGGGCAGCAAGCACGCAACAATAACTTAAATCACTGGTCATGTCTGTATTGAGTTGTTGGCAATTTAATAAACATGGGTTTGGGATGAAGTGCTCCTATACAGGTCACCGTTTGCACCATAGACTCTTGTTACTCCTTAAACCGGGGAACTAGACATCTAGAGAGGTCTTTCCACCTCTTCAATACCCAAGGGGGATTATCACCCCCAATACAAGAGAGGATTATCACTTCTCACAATCCTGGGGGATTATCAACCCCTAGAGAGGATTATCACCTCTCACTTCCCTAGAGATTATCACCCCCTAGAGAGGATTATCACCTCTCCCCTTGTAGATTTCGAATTGTTACACCAATATGTAGAGATAAGGGACGGACCATTAGAAAGGTTGTGTGGGGGGAGGGGAATTTTCGAGCCGCACGAATTTTTTTTCGTTACCAAATTCCTTGTATGAATTTTTTTAGGCCATAGCATGAATATTTTTGGCGTGCAATAATTTTGTTTCATTTAATTTTCCCTTGCACGCATTTTTTTTTTTGTACTTCGACCCATAAGTTTTCTAATGGTCCATCCCTAAGTGACCCGCTGTCAATATTTGGAGTATATCATTCCTTACCCCTTTTTCCCACAATTATTCTCGTCTAGTTATTTGCTTTTATCTAAAGGGTTATGGGTTGGGAGCATTAGATGATCCTTTTGCGCAGGTGTTGATCTCCCAGACAGTAACATAAGCAGTTGGAAAAGATTTAAGTAGGGTAATAGGTTCTGGCACTTCGACGCAATGAAAAGAAGCAGAACGAAAGCGGAAAAAGTATACGTAATTATATACAGTTGACTCCCGATAACTCGAACCCTCGCTAACTCAAACCTCGCGCTAACTCGAACCAAAGTCGATCTCCCCTTGATTTCCGTCTCAAATTTACTGTAATTTTACCCTCGTTTACTCGAACCCTCGATAACTCGAACCTCCCGCTGACTCGAAGTAATTTTTGTTTCCGTTCAGAACATTTCTATACAATTTTACCCTCGATAACTCGAACCATGTTTATTAGCGAGTGGCAAGTCGGGAAAAAAAACCGTGTGTCCGAAACATTGAATACAACCGAGTCAATTCTTTGTCTTTAATTTTTTGTCACTCCGGTTCAAATTCAGTGTCCATCCTTGTATACTTTGTTGCTTAATTGCATTCCCTTCCCATACATTTGCTTATTTCCTCACTTCCGTTTATTTGCTTCCGTCAAACTCCCGATAAGTCGAAGTTTTTTCGATTTCCCTTAAACGTTCGAGTTATCGGGAGTCGACTGTATATATATTTTTGAGCGAGAATGTGCCTTTCTTTTTAGTGCCAATAAGTCAACGTCTTCGTTTTCAGTTTCAAAAAATTAAGCTTGTGAAAGATATATCTGAATGCTCTATTACAGGTAAAGCGTTAGCCAACAGTCAAAATGTTAAAAGAAATAGGGCGGCCATTGTTGGGTTAATTTTCCCGCTAATTATTTTCACTAAAAATACAATGCCAAATTCTACAGTGAAATACCTTTAAAATCAATACTGCTTAAACGATATAAACAGCTTAAGACACTTATCAGCAAAAGTTCACCGAAATAGATATCACTTTCGCATGCGACCGCTATTTCCTTTGACATTCAAATTTGTAGCAAAGGTAATCGTGACGCGGCAGTTTCGATTAATCATTAGCGCGTATTCGGCAGATTTATAGAAATCCTTTCACGACTCATCCTCCCAGAAAACTGCACATTTATGAAGTAAAAGAAAGTAAAAACTATCACTTATTTTGATCTACCTTCTTCCATATAACTTTTAGGCAAGCATGATATTGACACATCCTACGCTCAGTTTATATTTACGATGGAATTTGCAAGACATTAACATAAGAGGGCTAGCATGAAGATTACTATCTTTAGTGACTCTTCTAAAATGGCGGAAGACTCGCAAGAGGCCTCAAAATCAATCAACAACACGAAGAATCGTTTTCCCACTCTACCGATTTCATAGAAAAGACAGCGGTAAACAACTTTTGTTTTTTACTTCAGAGTTTCGTTCGGGGACACAGTAGAAGAACAAACACTGAATGGAATCGCGATTAAAATCTGGGGGATAAACTGAAGAATGTCCTGTCACTTCGAAGCACGTCGAGGGTATAAAGCAAAATTGTTAGACTTACCGCGGACGATAACTGTCACACTGTCTGCCATCCGACGTGGAACGTTATTTAGGTCGTAGCTAACTTGCAGGGTGTAAACATATTCCTCGGTGTTGTCTACATTCAATAACCTCAACGTTGCTGGGAGGTTCGCTCTGTACTCGTTGGCGAAGCCCTCAGCTAGAGTGAAGGAACTACTGTATTTCCTCCATGCAATTTGTACTTGATTGACATCGCCCGGCCTCTGTCTTATCAAGAAAAGGTTTTGAACAACCTCGCCACTGTCAGGAAGAATTTCCCATATGAGATCCGCATTTGTGCTGTTCACTCCTTCGACCACGATTGTTGGTTCATCAGGCCTTCTAGGGAAAGTCAAGGCCTCTAAAAATAACACCAAAACCCAAAAAATATAATATTAAATCAAGGTTTTCCTTTCAACAAAAGAATGATACCTTCCCCTCCTCATCAAAAGCAATATTGTTAGAAGTTAAAATCTCCGCAAATTTAAGCTCCAAGGCTTACCAGATTGCTGTAGTAATGACGCAGCAATCAAAACCGTCGCCAATAAGCAGCAAGGAATAATCCATGGATAAGCTTTCATCTTGGTTGTTTTGGATAAATGTTGGAAATTCTTTCGCTTTCAGTTTCACATTAACGAAGCGCTTTATACTGAATCCCAGACCTTCTCAAAGCGCGATGCGGTGGAACGGTGGAACGGTGGAACGGTGGAACGGTGGAACGGAGGGAAATCAACCAATAACTGCAAATTAGGAGAGTGCGTGCGATGGGAAAGAGGGGGGGTTGGAAGTGGTAGTCGTAGGGGGGCGCAAAACGTGATGAGCTTGTAAGATCAAAATCAAACACTTTTATAAGTATGATTATTATTCATTGAAAATATTTCCCCAATTCTGATTGGCTAAAAGTACATGTTTAATTCACCATAACTAGTTACTGATGACCAAATTTGGAAGAATTTTGACTTTAACGAGGAAATGACGTCAAAAATGCAGCGTTTTCGCAGGTTAAGGCACCGTTAGCCGAGAAGACCGGTGACGAGCTTGTGTTATTTTTGGCAGACAAACATCAGAAATGGCTGCGAGTAGGTTTACAAGTTTGAGCGAAGAAAATATCACCCAGTTACTTAATGATAAAGACAGTGAGAATACCAAAAAGTTGACGGAACACCATCGCTTAATTTTTGAGTCGTACCTCAAGGAGAAAAACATCAGAAATCCTTTAACTGCAGTGGAGTTAGCGGCTGTTTTACGAAAGTTTTAGCCGAGGCGAGAAAGAAAGATGGACAGATGTACTCAAAGAACTCCCTCTGTTCCATCAGATTTGCTTTGTGTAAACACTTCAAACAAGAACTAAATATAGACATTATAAAGGATACGGAATTTAACGAAGCCAACCGAATTTATGAAGCACAGTGCGTGGAGCTGAAGAAGCAAGGACTAGCGAAAACTGAACACAAACCTCCAATTGCTGACGAAGACATACAGAAATTGTATCGATGCGGTGTCTTCAATGCTGAAAACCCTACCACTCTTCAAAACAAGGTTTTCTTTGAAATAATGTATTTTTCTGTCGGCGTGGTCGGCAAAATCTTCGCCAGCTTAAAAAGACTGACTTCGAAATAAAAGTCAACTCGCAAGGAAAACGCTGTGTTTTGAAAACAACCGATGAACTAACAAAAAATCACAGAGCACACGACGTTCAAGCTGAAGAAGGAGGAATGATGATAGCAAACGATGGTCCTTTTTGCCCGGTCTCATCCTTTGAAAAATATTTGAGTGTCTTGAATCCAATGAATGAATACCATTTTCAGCGACCAAAAAAGTCAGCTGGTGAAGGAGAAATTTGGTATGACAACATGGTTGTCGGCGAGAACACTCTCGGCAAGAAGATGAAAGTCATCTCACACTAAGCGGAGTTGTCAACAATATACACAAATCATTCAATCAGAGCGACGACCATAACTATACTCGACAGAAGTGGATTTGAAGCGCGACACATCATGTCGGTAAGCGGACACAGGAACGAAAGCAGCATAAAAACCTACAGCAAAACCGATACAAACACAAAAACAAACATGGCGGGCAGCCTTATGGCTGTAATTGACAACAACAAAAACAATGTCGTGGCTTCTGAAGCAGGCGAAAATGATCGAAATGAGGAACTTGGACTGCTAACAAATTCCCAAGAAGAATTCATTTTACGAGATTTGAACGTTCAAACTCACAACCATTGCAACCAAAGCACAAAGCAGTTTAATTTCTACAACTGTACAGTAACATTTCTGTAGACATCGCATTAAATTATCGTAAACAGGTTTGATTTTTTAAACCTCGATGTCTGCTAAATTTCTGACGGAGAGATTTTATTTATACATTTCACCAAAATTTACGGAGTGAAAATAACTTTAGCTCTCAGTATATTGCTGTAGGGTGTGAAATTTGTGAAAATAAAGCTCAGTTTCTCCTTTAAGTGTTTGAAAATATTTTGATAAATAATAAAGCAATTAATGAATTCGGCTTTCGTAGGGTATGAAGAATTAAGCGGATCTCGGAAGGGTGTTATCCACCTCGGCCTACGGCCTCGGTGGATAACACCTTCCTCGATCTGCTTAATTCTTCATATCCTACTTAGCCTCGTTCATTAATTGCCAAATATCAGCAGCTGTCTTTATCAGTGTTTTTGCTTATCTTCCCACTTTACAATTCGTTACTATTTTTACTATTTTTCCACAAAAATGCAAGAGTGTCCTGTATTTTTTACATTTACTTGGCTTAGCCTCTGTAGGTAAAGTACATGTAAGTAACAGCAGGTCAAACACCGACTATGATCCTCAAGATATTCTTTTGCACTGCAGGATAATCAATAAAGTTAGCTAAAAATTGGGCTTCAGAAAATTAAAGTAATCTGAAACGTTCATTGATTAATTAAGGTGTTGAAGCGTCATGTATGACTTCAAACCATTGTTGTGTGACACTACGCTAACACGACTCACCTACTCAGCACTGTTTTTCAAATACAATGCACCCGGAACTAGTGAGATGACAAGGTCAACGTACCGTTCAACTTCCCGCAAATTTGCTATCAAAACTGCATTTTAAATACAGTATTTAAAATATATGCTCAGAAAGAGGGGTGCTGGCGAGTAGCTAAAAACTTTTTCAAATACCGTATTTAAACAACATTTCGGAAAAAAGAACCTAAAGTCAATTTTGACAGGTAAAGTTCGAAAACAGTTTCAAACTAGGGCCTTTAAACACTGTTTAACACGGCTCGTGGCGGGGCTCCATACTCCTAGAATATGGTCAACCTCTTTTCGCTTGGTTGTCACGTGATTGAGCTACGGTACGTACGTACGCTTCTACAGATCGTACGGGTGGGGTAGGGGAGACTATCAAAAGGAAGGGGTCAAAGATAAGCCTCGTTGGTGTATAGGTATAGGTATAGGTATTAGTGACCAGGAGCCGATTACTGTATAAGCAAATCATTGATATGCATAAGGGTCGAGTCTATGACGTCAGCCATTGTTTTAACCTAGGGAAAAAATGCGTTCCTCCATACATAGTTAAGTGGATAGTCGTTTCTTTTCTTTTGGAAGAACACAACAGGAACAATAACCTTGCCTATACTTGCCCGTTAAGTAACTTGAGCCCAGTTTACCGGAACGTCTATTAAAAGGAATAAGAAAGCGATCACCAAGCAACGCGAGAAACGGCTGCCTATATCTTATTTAGCGCTAAAACTCGGATATATAAACAAAACACATACAGAAAGTGGAGTTGAAAAATCTTTAAGTTTATGTCTTCTTATTCATCTCTAAACGTCGGATACATATAAACAAACACATGTTCACAAAGCGTAGCTGAAAACGCGCTATTTCAATTTTGTCTGACTATTACAGAACCGCGTTTTCTCCTATCTATCTCGAGGAAATGAAAAACTATTGAAGTCTCAGCGTTTCACGCACCGTTAGTCAGTTAATTATGCGAGTTCACAAGACCACCGTTGCATACAAATTAGCTCTGCAGTAAAAACCCCAAGGGAGCATAGTATAAAAACACACACACACACACAAACAATTAATTACTTAACAAGGATCAATTGAGACACGCAACTGATAATTGCTAGCAATAAATCGAGACACGTTTCTTAAGACACAAGAAATCAACTTTACGACCCTTTATTAAAATACTTGCAAAAAGATTAGATTAAAGATCCTATTAAAATAGTCAAAGAATGCAAGCCATCCTTTTTCTTACTCTGCGCACAATGTTTTACTCACCCCTCTCCCTGTTCAATTTTATTTCTCCTCCTCATTTATTCTATATATTTTCCATCCACAAATACATCGACCTCCTAGCGACCCTACATCGACCCCACATCGACCCCACATCGACCCCTCATCGACCACACATCGACCCCTCATCGACCCTACATCGACCCAACATCGACCCCGCATCGACCTCACATCGACCCCACATCGACCCCTCATCGACCCTACATCGACCCCACATCGACCCTACACTCAACTTTTTTAACACAGCTTCGTGAATAGTGAGACTATACACCACCACCGCCACCACATTTCTATTGTTTTCCCTCCACTACCACCACCACTGCCACATTTCTATTGTTTTCCCTCAAAAGGCCAAAGAAGACAAAATCAGGTCTAAAAGGCCAAACTCAAGGAGGGAAACGATAGAAATGTGGCGGTGGTGGTGGTGGTGGAGGGAAAACAATAGAGACTTTAAGATCTAACGACGCGACGGCAACAAGAACGTCGCTTAAAAATTGAATTTGCGTTCTTTCAGTCTTTATAGTGATTATTCCTACCCACTTACTTTGTCAATTGTAAGCGAACCCTTCGAAAGCTGAATTTCAAGGGACCATAATCAAGCTCAGAAAGAGAAATAAAATTTCGTCGTTGTTTGTTTTTGTCCTCCATAAAACGCGAAATTAGGCATTTTCACGTCGTAGTTGTGCAAAAACGGGAAAGAAATGTACAAATAAGTGTGATGCACGTGCGAAGTTGTTGTTTTGCTAACTAAACCTATTGTTTTTTTTTAACGTTCTCGTTGTCGTCCGCGTCGTTGCATCTTAAAGTATCTAAAAGCAATGTTTGTGGCGGTGGAGGTGGTCGTGGTGGTGGTGGTGGAGGGAAAACAATAGAAATGAGGTGGTGGTGGTGGTGGTGTATAGTTTCACTATTCACGAAGTTGTGTCAAAAAAGTTGAATGTAGGGTCGATGTGGGGTCGATGTAGGGTCGATGTATGGTCGATGAGGGGTCGATGTGGGGTCGATTTGAGGTCGATGAGGGGTCGATGCAGGGTCGATGTGGGGCCCATGTGGGGTCGATGAGGGGTCGAGGTGGGGTGGATGTAGGGTCGCTAGGAGGTCGATGCATTGGTGGATGGAAAAATATATAGAATAAATGAGGAGGTGGAGGTGGAGGGGGGGGGAATAAAAAAACACTGAAGAGGGAAAATAATAAAAATGTTGAGAAGGGAAAAGGAAAAAACTGAGGAGGGAAATAAAATTGTAAAGGGAGAGGGGTGAGTAAGACATTGTGCGCAGTGCAAAAAAAAGGATGGCTTGCATTCTTTGACTATTTTAATAGAATCTTCAATCTGATGT